GAGAGCAGAGGGAGGCTTTGGGGGGTCAGAGTGGCCGATGCAAATGTGTGAGACCTTAGGAAGAGCTCCCCCCACTGCGGCCCGTCCAGTGAGTGCAGCCTCCGCATCTGTGAGACAGCGGGGGGCGGGGGCAGTGCCGCGTGTCACCCCCATTCCTCGGGCACGTGGCCTGGGAATCCCGGGCTGGAGGGTGCGGAGGGTGGGGGTCCCTGTGATCCGAGGACACACAGCAGCCCCCGCAGAACTGGAGCCAGAGATGGACCTGCCTCTCAGAGTTCAAGTGCGTCCATCACAAATAAAAAGCCTCTAGGGAGGGTGTTGTGACCAGAAACCCTCCCAGGTCCTAGCCTCTCCCACAGCCAGAGACTCCGGAGGGAGGGGGTGGCACCCGCTTGAGAGCTCCTGAGCCAGGGAAGGAGGTCAGGGTTCGTGGGGACCCTGGGACCCTTGCCCTCTTGCTATGACACCTCAGGGAGCAGTGGGGCCGCCTGTCCCCCGAGGCTCAAGGCTCCCAGCGCTGGGTGCGACCTTGCACTGACCCTGGCTGGGGGAGGGGGCGCTCTCCAGCCTCCCCCCCTCACACCACCTGTGCCCCTCGTGGGAAGACCCCGAGGCAGGTGCCCCTGCAGAGGGTGGTTAAGCCTCAGTCTGAAGAAGAATGTTCTGGAAGGACCCGGCAGGAGGCTCGCAGTGGTCCATGCCCAGGCTCTTGGCTCTGGGACCTTGGTCAGGCCAGCCCACCTAGTGCCTGGCTCACCTGGACAGTTGTCGGCCGTGGAAGCTGCAGTGCCCAGGAGGGCGAGGGCCAGGACCACGGTTCTCATGGCAGCGGCTGTCCAGTGTGGCGACATCCCGGGTTCCGCTGGCAAGACAATCACACCTTTTATTGCTGCGTGAGCCACGCCTCTGCTCTAGTTCCTTCCTGGCCTGGCCACTTCCTCCCCAGCCCCAGGGGACGGTCCCCCCACCACGCCCTCAGCCCCCCCTCTGCAGTGGGCCCCGCTCCCCTCAGTGGGACCAGATGCCACAGGTGTGGAGGGCTGTGTGGGGAGGGCCTGCGTGTGTCTTTATTATTTTTTATTAAGGGTACTAGATGCATGAAAATTCATGCATTGGAGGGGTGTCCTTCAGCCAGTCCTGACTCCTCTCACAGTCTGGGCGTGCTCTGGGGTGGGAGATGACCTGCTGATCAGGAAAGGTGACGCCACCATCACACCTCTGCTGCTGCCACTGCCAGCAGCACAAGCCTCGGCCGGCCCTGGGTGGCTGGGCACCTGATATCCAATTTGTTTAATATATATATTTTATTGATTTTTTTTACAGAGAGGAGGGAAGAGGGATAGAGAGTTAGAAACATCAATCATCTGCCTCTGGCACATTCTGTGCCCACAACCAAGGTACATGCACTTGACCAGAATCGAACCCAGGTCCCTTCAGTCTGCAGGCCGACGCTCTATCCACTGAGGCAAACCAGTCAGGGCTCGACATCCAATTTTTGCCTGCGCCTCGGGCCAGTCCTGGGCAGCTGGCAGGCTGAGGGCGGGTCTGGCCACACGGTGTGCCTGCCACCCTCCTGGTGGGGCTCAAAGGACTGGGGGACTCCGGGGGGCTGCGGGGACTGAGCGCTACCATTTTGTGGCTATGGGCGCCGCCATCTTTGTGACGGTGTGATGGTCAATTTGGATAGTTCCTCTTTATTAGATAGGATAGTTTTATTGACTTTGGAGATGAAAGGAAAGGGGGTAGAGACCTAGAAACTCCGCTGATGAGAGAATCACACCCGCCCTGGGATCCAGCCCCCAACCCGCCCATGTGCCCTTGACCGGGATGGAACCTGGGACCCTTCTGTCCGCAGGCTGGCACTCTCCCTGGGATCCAGCCCCCAACCCGCCCATGTGCCCTTGACCGGGATGGAACCTGGGACCCTTCGTTCCGCAGGCTGGCACTCTATCCACTGAGCCACACCGGCCAGGCCTGCCTGCTTGTGTCTTTAGAGAAAGCACAGGAGCCCCCTCTCATCACCCAGCTCTGCCCAGGGGACCCCCCCTGAGGGACCCCCAGGACGGCAGGGGTGGCCGGGCAGGAACTCACTGGCATGCAATGGGCTGCGGGTTCCAGAGGGTGAGAGACTCCCTGGGGTCCAGGGTGGTCAGAGGGGAGGGGAGGGGAGGGGAGGTGGTGACTGCCCTGCAGAGGCAGGACTGGAGCTGGACTGGTGCTGCAGCAGCTGCCTGACTGGGGAGTGGGAGGTGGGCACAGGCAAGATTGACAGGAGGAGACAAAGAAGATCATTGACCCGCCTGCCTCTCCTGGGGCAGGCCGGCCTGAGACAGAGGTTCCCAGGATCATATTCTAGCGCCAAGGAAGCTATGTCAGCTAGTCACCGCCCCCCATTCCCTTATCATTTCTCCTGTGAAGGATGATCTGTGAGCAGCATGTGATTGCGTACATCAGCCTGTTTTCTTAAGAATTCCAGGGCCGGTTCCTAGGAAGCAGCCTTCGGACACGCACATCCCGATGCCAGACGTTTGCTGACCTTTGACCCGTGACCTGAACAGACAGGGTTTGTGGACAGTCCCCTCAGCGGAGAACTCTCAACCCCTCCCTCCATCCCTTTGTTCTCCCCCGACACCTCCTCCTCCTACAAAACCTCTACCTGAGTCCATTTGTTAAGATGGTCTTTGGGCCCTGGCCACTGTGGTCAGTGGTTTAAGCACTGGCCCGAGGAACCCAAGGGTCTTGGGTTCGATTCCTGGTGGAGGGCACGTTCCTGTGTTGCAGGTTTACTCCCTGCCCCCTGGTTGGGGTGTGTGTGAGGCAACCACTTGATGTGTCTCTGTCACATCGATGTTTCTCTCCCTTCCTTCCTCCTTTCCACTCTCTCTGAAAAGCAATGAATAAAATATCCAGTGATGAGGATTCATGAAAAAAAATTTTAAAAAAGGGATGACCTTTGTGATGAGAGTGTGCAGTGTCCTCGGGCTGCTGGCTCCTGAATAAACCGTCTTTCCTCCCAGCAGCACCGGCCTCTGGAGGACTGGCGGCAGCACCAGGCAGCCGAGCCTGGCTCGGTACCAAATCCGGCTCTTGGAGTGTTGGCAACAGCTCAGAGCACCTGGCCTGTTAGAGTGACAGCCTGCTCGTCCAATGGAAAACGTTCACTTGAGTCTTGGAACGAGTGAGTGACTGATGTGCAAGTCAGTGTTTGGGGACAGTGACGAGGCCCGGAGTTCCTAGTATGTGTACGTTCCCCATTTCTAAGAATCAGCGCATGCTCAGAGGCCCCGCTAAAGGCAGACAGCGGGGACGCGGGGACACATGTTCCAATCGACGCGTCTTGCAGATGCAGTTCAAAGGTCGCAGGGTCCGAGCGCCGAGCCAGTGAGGGAGCGAGAATGATTCCAGGCCCGGGGGCAGGTCAGTGACACCCGCCTGTCACGGCAGAGTCAGGTCACGGGTCAGACCTGAAAGCGCAGGGGAAGGGGTCAGGGGCCCTTTGACGTTAAGGCTGTTATAAACGGAACAAATGACACCTGAGGTGACACCAGGTGAGCGTCTCAGATCCAGGAAATAAGAACAGAGTGAACGATCAAAGGTTCATCAGATTGAAACTGTGCCTTCCCAGGTCAGAGCCTGCACAGGCCCATGTGGGGGCTCCTGGCCCTCCCAGCAGGGGCTCCAGGCCCGCACCTCCTCGGGCTGGTGAGGGCCCCTACCCTGAGGGTCATCTGCATTCCCGCCAACTGGGCGCCCTGGGGCCGGTGGTCAGGAGCCTCCCGCCCTTCCTCCCGCTTCCCTTGGGCGGCCCTGACCCTCAGCCCTGTGAAGCCAGGGGCCCGGGACAGAAAGCGAGTTGCTGAGCGTCCGGACATCAGCTGAGACCCGGCGAGGGCACTTCCCAGGGTCGCTCCGTGCATCCTGGGTTCTTTCCGTGCCCGACTCCCCTCCTGTGAGTCCCTGGATGGGACGTGCTCTCCTGTCAGCCCCCGTGTCCTGACTCTGGCTTCTCTCCTCCTCGGGCGGTGAAGGAAGAGTTGAGTCCGCCCCGCACACGGCCTCCCCCCCGCCCCGGCGGGGCCTTGGCGCCCTCTTCCCCTCGTGCTCCTCTGTCTGTGCCGAATCCCACTGGAAAGCGAGGCGGGTGAGTTGGCTTCCAGCAGCGCGTCGCTGGGAAAAGGGAAAACACCACCCGCGCCTCTCAGATCTGAAGCTCTGCCCTGTGAAGAGCTCCCGGGTCTCCGGAGGGAGCATGTTTACGGTGGGATCGGCCCCGGGAGGCCAGGGAGGGGGGGCCTGTCTGGAGCCGCGTGGCAGCCAGGAGGCAGGAGGCAGCCCCCAGCATGGCCTGGCCACAGGCCTGCCTGTTCCCAGTCGAGCGGGACACCCGGGAACTTTCTAGAATGACAAGCTCTCGGGGCCACGCACACCTACAGGGTAACTTGTTCCGCAACAACAAGTAGAACAGACGCTAAAGGGCTTCTTGGTCTGTGTGTCTCCCACGCGGAGTCTCCACCTCGTCCCAGCCGCCTCCGCCTCTCAGGCCAGTGGTTCCTCGTTTGAAAACGAGTCTGAGAAAGTCCCCAAGGGCAGCGAGGTCCTCGCATGGCCACACACGCTCGTCCCCACTCACGCCCAAGAGGGAGACCCTTCCAACCTGCCCGATGCCCGGTCTGTCCCCGCCGGGAAGCCGGACCAGGACGGAGAGGAGTGGGTGTCGCCTCTCACAGCCGGGAGGCTCGGCCTCCAGGAGGCGGAATCGCACGGCAGCCATGGCCCGGCTCTCGCGGAGGGGACCCCGCTCACCCCATCCCCGGCTCCTGGACTTAAGTCCCTTGGCAGCAGGGACTGGGTGGGGCACCGTCTCCTCTCTCCCAGGACGGGAGTGAAGCAAGGCTGGGCGCCATCTCACCTCGCGTCTCCTGAAGGCCCGCCCGGTGTGGGCAGCTGCAGGTGCAGGGGAGCTCTTGCTGACAATTGTTGGGGACAGACTGCGGGGAGCCAAGGCCCCGGGCCTGAGAGCAGCCCCGAGTCGAGCGCCTGTGCCTGGGTCCTGGGACACGCCTGCGGGAGCACGCACTGGCCCCAGGCTCCTGGCCATACCCACACCCCCACCTGCAGCTGCAGGTCCTGTCCTGCAGCCCAGATGGGCAGGTGCCTTCCCCACCCAGGCCTCAAGGTTGAGGGAGATGTGAGAAGTGGGGGGCTCTGCAGGGCCTTGCCCGAGGGCTTTGCTGAGGCCCCTCCCTCCTCCCTCCCTCTCCCAGGCTCACTCACAGTCCTCACCCCAAGGTGGAAGCCGCAGCACCTCCCTCCAATGAGGGCCGTCCCTCCTTCCCCGGGCCCCGAGCCCACAGGTGTGGGTGCACCTGGAATGAGCCCACCAGGGGCCACAGACTCCTGCAGGAGGCGGGGACTCTCTCTGAAAGGCGGGGGCTCCCTGCGCGGCCAGCCGCCTGCTCCTGCACCCGCTCTCGCTGCCTGGCCTCCAGCAGCAGCCTCTACACCTGCCCTTGGGGATGGGAGAGCCTGCCCGTTAGCGCCCACCACCTTTCAGCAGAGGGATGCAGCTCAAGGCCGCCACCTCCGAGCCTGCCTGGGTGTTCGCCCCTGTGAGTGTTTCTCACTCATTTTAAAAATTTACTTAATACTAGAGGCCTGGTCCACGAAATTCATGCACTGGTGGGGGGTGTCCCTCAGCCCAGCCTGCACCCTCTCCAATTTGGGACGTCTCAGGGGATGTCCAACTGATGGTTTAGGCCCAATCCTGGTGGAATTGGGCCTAAACTGGCATTCATACATCCGTCTCACAGTCTGGGACTGCTGGATCCTAACCACTCTGTCTGCCAGGCTGATTGACACCTAACTGCTCCCCTGCAGGCCTGGTCCCCCACAAATGCCCTCTTCAGCCGCCCATCTAGTGACAATGTGGAGGCAGCCATTATGTGATGATGTGGCGGTGGCCATCTTGTGACTCGAGGGTGTGAGGGTCAATTTGCATATTGCCACTTTATTAAACAGGATATTTTAATTGATTTCATAGAGGAAGGGGAGGGGGAGAGAGAGTGAAACATCACTGATGAGAGAACATCACTGATGATCAGCTGCCTCCTGATGCCCCACACTGGGACGGAGCCCACAGCCCGGGCCTGTGCCCTGACCCAAATGAACCTGTGACTCCTGGTTCCTCAGTCTATGCTCAACCCCTGAGCCCTGCCGGCCCGGCCCTTCTCAGTTTTCTCTCTAACAGACAGTGTGGGACAGAGCTTCTCAGGCCTGACCATCCGTAGCCTCTGGGCACTGTGGTCAGTCCAGCCACCTGCTACAGAAACATGTGCAAGCCATTCTGAATAATCATGATGAAATTATATCTCCAGAGAAAATGGCAAAAGAATTGCTGGATGATTTAAAAGGATTTAATCCATGGAAAATGTTAAAACACACCACCAGGCCCCTAATAGGATTCCTTTATCCACTAACTTCTTACCCTGCTTTCTTTTAGTCAGCAGCAAGCTCCTGAGATCTCAAGTCAGCAGGCTCCAATGAGATGTCCAAGCCACATTTAAAATATAAAGAAGGCGGAGATGTAGAGAGCACCTGAGAAAGGTCCCTGAGCTGATTGTCATCTGAATCCAGTGGCGCCTGGCAGAGCCATGCCCTGGAAACATACCTTGCCAGAGGCAGGTGGGTTGTCAGTCTGACCTTTAGCTCAGGCGCCAGGCAGCTGAGTTCCAGCCAGGCACCAGGAACAAACATGATTATCCAGGCCCATCCAGAAGTGACGATTACAAAGAGATCACAAGAATGCACGTATGTTCTTTACCTTAAACTTTAGTAAAACTTCCTGGTAACTTACTTTATAAAATAAACACGCTGTATCTGCTCTGGGTCCGTCTCTCCATCAGAGGGCAGCTGACCCACCCTGTCCCAGCTTTCCCTACTGTCTTTGTGTCTGTCTCTTTCATTTTCTCAATCCCCCGTCACCCCTACTCAGGACTCCCGTCTGCTCTCTAGCTGTGCTGGTCGCAGAAAAGAGAGAAATATGTATAGACTGGCATCGTGTGCCTGCGGAGCGAGGCGAAGCTTTATTGAGGATGCGTGTGATGCCCAAGGTCAGGGTCACCCTCACCCTGGCAGGCGGGAGAGGAAGGTGGGAGTCAGTTGGAGTCTCCAAGCTGAGGGTCCTTTACGGGCCGGGGGTGGGGCCAGGGCGAGCTCCGATTTTCTGTGGGGGCCTCCTGTGCCCATGCTGAAGGCACAGGACCTGCTCAGAGGAGGACGCTCTGGGCCACAGGCCGCCATATGCAGGCCGCACCTTCATCTTGGCCACCTTGTAACTGTAGCTGTACCCCTTCCCCAAAATTCCAGTTGATGCCATTAGCAAAGCGTCCACCATTCAGTCGAAGGCTGGTGCTCTAACCACCGGGCTAACCCAGCCAGGGCTCCCATGGGATTCCTCACTGATTCGCCACCCCCACCCCCCTCCCCTGAGCTGGGGGTCAGCACACACGGTCTCCCAGGCTGGCTGGTGAGGGTCTGGGCCTGCGGCCAGACCGTGTGACTCTGTATTCTTCCGCCTGGCCTGAGGCTGCAAACCTGCCCAGAGCGCAGACCGCTGGCAGGACAGGCGGGAGGCAGCGGGCTGGGTGCCCTGGAGCGGCACTGCCACACAGGCGCACAGGCCCTGCTTAGCCCACCTCGTCTGATGCCACCAAAACCTCCTACAGTGCCAGGATCTGGGCGGCACGGACAGGCACCCAGACGTGCACAGGACCAGTGACCGGACGACACAAAGGTGAGTGGCATCGTGTGCTGGGGAGCGAGGCGAAGCTTTATTGAGGAGGCGTGCGGTGCACAAGGTCAGGGTCACCCTCACCCTGGCGGGCGGGAGAGGAAGGCGGGAGTAGGTCGGGGTCTCGAAGCTGAGGGTCCCTGATGGGCCAGGGGCTGGACCGGGGTTAGCTCCACCTTTGCGTGGAGGCCTCCTGTGCCCAAGCTGGGGGCGCGGGACCTGCTCAGAGATGCTCCAGGCCGCCGACCGCCCTACACGGGCCGCACCTTCATCTCGGCCACCTTGTAGCTGTAGTAGCTCCCCTTCCCCGAATGCCAGTTGATGCCGTTCCCTCGGCTCTGGTGGGAGCCCCCGAGGTAGCGCCCGTTCAGGTTGGAGTTGTGGCAGCTGCGGTACCACCAGGCGCCCTGGTAAATCTCGGCACAGTTGGAGGAGGCCCCGTCATTGTCCTGGTCTTTGGTGGAGAACAGGGAGTTGTTGTGATAGGTCAGGGAGTCACCTGCCGGGGAGAAACGGGGCCGCTTACACTCAGTGCCAGGAGGTGCCGGCTCGGACCTGTCCAGCTGCGCGTCGTGCGCTGCGAAGTCCGACGATGCTGTGCAGGCCAGTGAACACTCGGTTGGCAGATCCCCGGCCTCAGTATCCCCCCCTCTGCTCTGTGCCCGCCAGAGAACGGGCACTGTACCCCGTAGAGGGGAGGCCACTGCCCGAGACGTCCAGGTCCCTCGGGCCCCACGGGAGGGACGTGCGCCATGAGCGGTGCTCCCCGGGCGTCCTGTCCCCCTGCTCCAATGCGGGCGGTCAGGAGGGAGACGCTCAAGTCCTGCACTTTGTCGCCGTGTGTCCCGCCATCATCATGGGCGCATCCAGGTGGAGGCGGGTTATCGCAACGTGTGGATGGAGGAACGTGGTGAGGCCAAGGCCCCGCCCAGGCCCCAGGGACACAGAGCCAGGACCCCGCCCAGACGCTCTCCACTGCCCACCCCATTGTCCTCCCTCCACTGCCCACTCCCACTGCCCATCCCCACAACCCATCACGCGGCTAACACTCACCGGCGGTGCCCCCGGCAAAGGCGCCCAGGACCAGCTTGTACTTCTCGGCCTCGCTCCCCACCCTGAACGACTGGTACTTGGCAAATTGACGGGTGCCCTGGAAGTCCACCAGGTCCACACGGAGCTCATATGTGCCTGCGGGGGGCAGGGCCTCAGTCCCGGGAGCAGGGACCCTGAGCTGCCAGGACGTGGCTAACGCTCAGGGGACCTGCACTGGGCACCCAGGACAACCTGCCCACCCCCACTGTCCACACCACTGTCCACCCCACTGTCCACCATCCACTGACCACCCCCACTGTCCACCCAACTGCCCTCCCTCAACTGCCCACATCCCACTGCCCACCACCACTGCCCACAGCCCAATGGCCACCACCACTACCCACCCCAGACCACCCGGCTGACACTCACCGGCGGTGCCCCCGGCAAAGGCCCCCAGGACCAGCTGGTACTTCTCGGCCTCCCTCCCCACCCTGAATGACTGGTACTTGGCAAAGTGGCGGGTGTCCTGGAAGTCCACCAGGTCCACACGGAGCTCATTGGTGCCTGCGGGGGGCAGGGCCTCAGTCCCGGGAGCAGGGACCCTGAGCTGCCCGGACGTGGGTGACGCTCAGGGGACCTGCACTGGGCATGCAGGACGACCCTCGAGGTCCCCCAGAAAGTCCCGGTCGCTGAGGGGTGGGGGCACGTGCTCCCACGGTCCGGAGCCAAACCCCAGCTCTCTCTCCAGCCCCAGAGAGAAGGGACCCTCGGCATTCCCGGGGGTGGGGTCACCACAGCCTTTTGGGAAGCAGCCTTCTCCCGTGTGTATTCAGGGACGGGGCACGGTGGGCGGTGAGGGCAGGGCTGGGCACTGGGCCGAACCCTGATGAGGGCCTCCGTGTCCCCTGGGGTTGGTCTCTGAGATGACAGGGCGGTGACCAGAGAACGTCTGCCCCCCAAACCCACTTCCTCTGGCCCTGACGCCCCCCTCCCAGTGGGACCTTCCTGTCCTCAGAGGCGGCACGTGTGGGGGCGGACAAGAGGGCTCGTCCAGGTGGCCCAGGTCGGAGGTCGGGGCAGGTGGGTTTTGGGCCCCCACCCCCCCAGGCCGCGGCCAGAGCCCTACCCTGGGTGGTCAGGGCGTGGATGTGGTCGTTGCCCAGCCAGAACTCGCCCAGCTGGCTGCCGAAGCCCCGCTTGTAGGCGGCCCAGTCCAGGTAGAAGTCCACGGAGCCGTCCACCCTGCGCTGGATCACCTGGGGGAGGGGAGAGGGCGCTGCGGCCCAGCACAGCCCAGCCCACACCCAGGACCCCGGGCG